CAAAGTCGAGGAGCCGGAAACTAAAAGATCTGCCAGTGAAGGAACTAAACATGCAATCTCAAGGCACTTTAGAATAGAATAGAATACAATACAATACAATAGAATATCCCTTTATTGTCCCACAATAGGGAAATGCTGGTGTTACAGCAGAAAAAAGATTATAGAAAAACATGATCACACAAATATGGACTTTAGAAAAGTGTGTAAGAATAACATAATGGTGAATAGTAAAAAAAAAATTTAAATAAAATACTGTACTGTAAAGTGTTTTAACAATATAAAACTGTGCACCTGGAGAATAAATACACAACATACAGCTATGGACATTTTTACAATAATGGATTTAAAGTAGCAGCAACACCAGAGATGTGCAAAATAACAGCAGCATGTTATTTAACTGACTAAGATGGATGGGAGTGGTGGTTATAAAGTCTTACAGCTGCTAAGAAGAAGGATCTATGATTACGCTCCCTGACTTTACAGAGACAATTCAACCAGATCATACAGTCAGATTGAAAATTGGAAAACCAGCTAATTACATCGACTCATTGACTCAAAGTCAACCCCTCACACCAAGCATGCTTATGGCGACAGTGTAGAGAAAAGCTCTGTTTTAACAGGAAGAAACCTCCAGCAGAACCAGGATTAGTGTGAGCAGCCATCTGCCGAGACCGACTAGGATTCACGAAGACGGAAGCAAACATACAGAAAGAAACAGAGATACAAAAGCTAACTGGCAACCAGCTCCACAGGCGGCCCCGTCCAGGAAACACACAGCCAGGCAGATGAGCTCCGAGCCAGCTCCCATGCCAGAGGATGAAGAGAGCACATCCAGCCAGTCACAGTCAGAGAAACAGGACTACACTGAAAACAGCCCGATCTTGAACATCTACAAACTAGAAAGGGTGTTGATGGCAGCAGGACAGCTGATATTTCTCCTCAGGATGGAGTCAGAGCCACACAGGAACAGACCAGATGAAGCTAATATGAGAAAAAGCAGAGAGAGCATAATGTTAGAGATTGAACTAACAAATACTGATTAGTGGGAGAATACAGATAGAATGAAGCAGAATGATGAAAAATGGTCCCTATGTCCTCCAGTCGTCATTATGTTAGGCTTAATTGCGCTGAAATTAGTGTAAACTGTTATATTTGGTTCATTATAGGATCAAATAACAGGAACTGTAAGAAAAAGAGTTAAAGTGCAACAATTTACAGCACTGCATGAAAGGACTCGGATCATGGTCTGGAAAACAGGAGGAATTAGGAAAGACAGATTAGAACCAAGCAGCATACAGTATATACAGGGAGTGAGGAGTGAATGCAGATGAGTCAGGTGGAAATGACTATCAGCTGAGAGCGAGGAGAGCAGAGAGCTTAGGGAGAGATTAAGTCATTAACAGGCAGAGAGGAAGGAACAGAAGGGGACCGAAGAGAAATTTAAATATACAGCTAAGAGTAGCAGCTATGAGCTAAGAATACAGTGAACAAAATGAACGAAAGCATACCACACTAAACGCCTGATCTTTAAACAATCCAAAATAGGCATGCTAAATTGAATTGACAAATATTGTAAAAATGTTGGTCGTAATAAAAAGAGGAAGTTGTAAGCCATGGAGCTGGAAGCAATGATAATTACATTATTTGATATATCATTGATAATATCATCAATAATAGTTTTTAGCACTTTACATTTGTATCCCAAAGTGCTGCAAAGTACAAAAAAAATACATAAAAAGTTTAAAATAAAAGATAAAGATTAAAGGTCATAGCTACAAATTTTTGTTTAATTTAATTTGTCAACAAGGATACATCCATAAAATGTTGAGAGCGGTGAGCAATAAAAATATAATTGTATTGAAAAGACACATGTATGATAATAACAATACATTTTGATGCATCTAAAATATATTTAGATATTTACTTTAGGATTCCAATTTTGACACAAAATGATTCTGCATCCATAGATATAGTTGATTAAAATATAGAGCTTAGGAATTGCCATACTATAGTAGATCTGTGATAAAGCTGACTCTGATTCAAATCAAGAAAATCAAGAGCACGAAAGCGTTGGTGCCGACTTGAGGAACAAAGGGGATCAGAAGGCAGGTATGCAAGCTGGTTGCTGCTTTTTGTTGAGACAGGCAAGTTAAGCATTTAGCATTAGCATAGGTGGCCCTGCCAACCAACTGACAAACGCTACAATTGAAGGCTGGGATTAGAACAGGCGAGCGTTAGTGTGCCACTTATTGCCCAGAAGAAGCTAAACTTGTAGCCTGCTGGAGAAGCTCCTTCTGACCTTACAGGGAAGCAAATTACACTCCAAAAAGCCAAATTTATGCCCACCATCTCCACTCAACAGTCACTTGTCCCAAAATGTTGCAAACCAAGAAGGATCCATTATAATTTAATTGAAAGGGAAGAAAATCAGCACCTTCAATGACTGTTTACAGCCTCTGTGATGGATGACCCTCAGTGGCTGTTTATATGCATTTTTTTTTTTTTTTAAGATGCTATTAAGTTCAGTTATTGTGTTTTTTCTTTTGGTTAAATTGCTAAAGATTGTTTGGAGTCATGCTGCATTCTGTGTCGGCCTGTGCAAATTTATTTTTCCTACTATTATTCTACTATTGTTAAAACTGACAATCCAAACATGTTGCAAAATCTCTCCCCATCATCCACAATTGTATCAATTCCTTATTGTGGCCAAGTCACTGCAGAAATATTTGTGAGTTTGCACCTAAACTTTTAAAATTATAGAAGCAATCCCTTTAAGGTTGGATAAATCGCTTTGCAGGTATTAATTATTAACATTTGCGTGTCCGTCATCCATATATTTGTACAGTTTGGTCATTAGAATATGGCTTGGATATTTAGGAAGGCACACAGCTAAAAAAAGATTGTTTTGCAAAGGCTGCCCAACGATTTGCACATAAACAGCTTTAGAACTTGACATGACAAACATCTCACGGGTATCAAGTTTATACAGCATTAATATTTACTAAATGTCAGGTTGTGATTGGTTGACTGTCGGACAGGTTGGGGGGAATCCGGTGCTCTTTGAAAGCCGTGATGTCACAGTGAGCAGCGGGCTAATGAATAGCATTCACCCCAGGCTGTGTGCAGAGTTAATAAACTCCTGCTAGCTGGGATAATTAATGCTAGGCTGGATGCCCCCCCTCCCCCAACCCCCCACTCTCACCCCCACTCCCCCAAATCAGGCTGCCTTTTTTGTCATTCACTCAATTAGTTCTCAGCCGTGCCAGAGGTCACTTTTAGGAAAATTTATGGCTCTTGAGGGGAAGTGTAATTTTTACAGCCCAAATAATCAGAGGCTGCAGAGCGTCTTCAGGTCAGAGATAAATTAGGGTAAATTGGAAGATTTACACTTGAGGGGGGGATTTGTTCTGCCCTCATGTTTCTGTCGTCCTCTGTGTTACCGCAAAATATTGAGTGGAGTAACTGTTGTTCCTGCTATGTGAAAATGCTTGGCCCTGCAGAAACTCTGCATGTCCTCTGAAAACATCTGACCAGCAGAACATTAAATGTGTTCGGCTAAATCAGCGTTTAATTGGGCTCATGCCTCACCTTAGGTCGGGTCTTCCCTCTGCTGTGTGGCTTAAACAGACAGAACAGCTTACAAAGACTTTAATTTACAAATCATTTCTGCCTGCTGAGCTTCAAGTCATGCTTTAAACTCTAAAGGACTGGAAAAGAACAGTGATTCCTGATGGAGTCAGAGAGGACACAGACTCTACTAGTATCTGAGTAGCTTCATTATCTCTGAACTCCTCTCCTTGTGTCTTCCAGTACACTTCGGCACTGACCTACGATGGGGTGATGGTGATGGCCGAGGCCTTCAGGAGCCTACGCAGGCAAAAGGTTGATCTATCCAGACGTGGGAACGCCGGCGACTGCCTCGCTAACCCTGCCGCCCCGTGGAACCAAGGCATAGACATGGAGCGCACCCTGAAACAGGCGAGAGAAACACAGATCTTGTGTTGGACTGAATACTGAAAGGCCAGGAGGGCCTGAATGCAACTTTTTCTTTGATAAAAGTGTTGAGGCAAATTATTACAGGACATTTAGTTATGTTAGGATCTGGTGGAGCTTTCTATAGATTAAAAATATATGTATGCCAAAAACCAATCAAACTAAGTTATCACACCAGTATATTCATATTAATGCCCACAACAAAAAAACATTATAAAGCACTATAAAAATAAAACAAACGTTCACATACAGGTTTACTTTTTGTTTATAAATGTTGCCCTTCTGAGGCTTTATGAAGGCAAATCTGTGTGGTTCAATATTGTGTCAATAAACTAAAAAAATGTTGAGTGGAGAAGCTTATAATCAGCCTTATATTTTTTATATATTAAATTTGTTTATTTTCTGAGAATGTGTTTATTTAGGAGCAAATATGCAACTTAACAAAAGAAAAAGTACACTATATTATATTATTCTCCATGTTAATCCCAGATTGTTCATTCTTCTTTTCCAAAAAGTGCTTTAAATCAGTCCTACCTGTCTTTATTCATGCTGGGTCAGATCCTGACTTTTGAAAAAGGAGGCAGGGAAGGCAGAATAAAGCTTTAGCCTCGCTGCATGCAGTTAGCCAAGCATTCCTGCTAAACCAGGTTCTGGAAAAGGACGTTTCTTGCGCCATTTCTCTCTCTCTTTCTCTCCAATGAGTCTCCAGCTCCAGCAACTCAACCTGTCAATCACCCGCAAAACGTCTGCGCTTTGGCGGGAGGTGGTGAGGAAATACACTTCCTGTCACCTCAGGGCACACCAGAGCTGCATCCCAAGCTCTCCTAACCCTTTTATTGTAGAGCAGCTGCATGTACAATCTTTAACGAGAGTCAATGGGTAAAGATTGTTGCGCCCTAGGGCGGAAATACGTCCCCAGTCCAAAGAAAAATGGAATGATGCTTTCCTCCTCATTAAAGATTATATAGCTATCTTGTACATCTAAAAAGTATATAACCTTTATATATATATATATATATATATATACCAATATCAGGCGGGGCCCTGATCCAGCACTAAAATGGTGGTATCGGTATCATCGAGTACCAATAAATAGGGCACCGATACCATTTTACCAAAATCTATGGTTGATACCAAAAGTTTATTCAACTATTGTCACCCATTCCAGGTAGGAAATAAAAAGTTCTACTGGATTCACTTTGTTTTAGTCTTTTTCCTGCTTCACAAAGGTAGGCAGCAGCTTGACAAATAAAGGATTGGCAATTATTTTACATCCAAGTAGTATGCAGTCCTTTATATATACACACACACAATATCAAACGTATCAAGATGGTATCGGTATCGGCCAATACTGCACAGCCAGGTATCGGGCCAAAAAATGGCATTGGCAGCAACACTAGTCTTAATCAGAGTGTGTGTGGCGCCCTAGCGCCCTCTATTGACCAGCCACCACTGGTTTTGATTGTCACATTCCAGCAAACTTTTGGTTTATGTCATATGACAGACTAGCAATTAGTTATACATGGTTTTCAACATTTTTCACAGAAACACCGACAACTGGCATCCATTTTTATTCAGCTCCTTTATTGTGATACCCATTCTGTGCTGTATTTACTCTATTTCTTCCTCTTAATTTGAGCTCTGAGCCAATATTTGGCTCAGAGCTCATTTGCTGAGTTGTGTTTCTCTTCCACATAAAAACCACTAAAGCAGCTTATTATGCCGTTACATTTAGAAAGTTATCCTTTGTGTTGAGAATGGTTGCTATTACATCACAATAATTTGAACAGCTTATTGAAATTGGATCAGTTATTAAAATCAAAATTCTTGCATGTAGAAAATTAACACAGCACACCAATCTGAGCAGATTATTCTACTGTAAGGTGGCAGGATCAGAGTGTGGAGATACTTTTCTCCAGCAGGAACAGAGAAGACTGACACAGTTGGTTGAAAATGGATGGAGAAAAATCCAGGACCAATTATGGGAGAGGCTGGAAAATATCTCAGACTGAGGGGGAGGTCCATCCTCCAGCTAAACTTACAGCCAGAGATATTATGGATGGTTTAGATTAAAGAGCAATAATGTGATGAAATGGTCTAGTCAAAGTCCAGAGCTAAATCCAGCAATATATCTTAAGCAAAACTTTATTAATATGGATGCTCACAGATACTGTCTTGGCAAGTTAAGACATGCCCAGAAAGATTAACAGCTGTAACTGCTTCTAAAGGTGATAATATGCCTGTATGGACCCAGAGGGACTAACTACAAATGTACACCGCAATTTTCAAATCACTGTTTCTGAATCTTACCGTGCATTAGTTACTTTCTACTTCATCTGTATGTATGATTTGCATTGGATTATCACTGTATAAAGCCCAGTAAAATACAATGAATTTTGGGTCTGGAATCAAATAAAACAATACAAAGTTTAAAGGGGTGAATACTTCTGCAGAAAGTATCCATCTTGCTGTCAGCCAAGTATTTAAAAAACATAGACTATTCATATATAATCCCACCATCTGTAAAGGTAATCTGAGCCTGTGTGTTTCAAAGGAGGAACACTGATGTTCCTCCTGCAGAAGGCCCATCAGATGCATCAATTTATTCTCCACTGCTCCATGACACTCTCTATCTGTGTGTTCCTATCTCCCTCTGTGTGCAGGTCCGGCTGCAGGGACTAACAGGTAATGTTCAGTTTGACCACTATGGCCGAAGGGTCAACTACACTATGGACGTGTTTGAGCTGAAGAATAATGGACCAAGAAGGGTAAGACATAAAAACAGAGTCCAGAGCCATTTTTGGATATGCTTACACACATTATCTGCATGAGATTGTACACATGAGGCTTTTGACTCATTTGTGCAGTTTCCTTTCGTATCTATTAATCTATATAAATATAACTGTTATGATTCTTAAGTTTACAGCAGCAAGGTTTAATTCTGGATGGATTTTTAACGATGTCCACTGTTAGGAAGCTTTCCCTCGCAGGATAAAATCATTAGCTTGACAGCATGCCTTGGAATGACCAGCAGCTGGGTAATGGGAAAGTCCAAGGAACTCAGGGAAGATCTGAATGACAGAATCACACAAGCTGTGGAAGGCGCTTTGAGTCTGTGCTTAACAGCTGCAGATTCCAACATCTGTGGTTCAAACTAGAGAAGAGGAACCTATTTAGATGCAAGATAACTTTTCCAGGAGAAGACCCAACCTGTCCCCCCAGGAAAGAGGAAGCACCAAGTGGGGAACATGCAAGTCTCAATATCGGGATGATGGAAGTGGAAGGCAAAGCTGATATGTTTAGTTATTAAATGAAGCTGTTCTACCACAACAACAAAAAATATCACTGGAGGAGTAAATGTGTGGCCATTAAACCTAAAACCATTGTCCCAACCTCCAACGGGGGTATCATTATGCTGAGAGCTGTGTCCAATTTCCAGTGTTACTGGTGTACCTCCACTATTTTATATAGTTTATCTTAAATAAAGAGCTAAATGGTTGAAATTAGGACTGATGTTTCCAATGGGATTAAAAACAAAGATCCAAACTGGTTTTAAGAAGAAACTGACTTAGAATAATGCCAAAGGTTCGCTGACACCACTTGTTTATAAACATTGAATTTAATTTAGGGTGACAAAAAAGATTCAACGGAGGTAAAAAAAAAAAATGTTATCCTTAAACTCTGCAAAAATAACTATATATAAATCAAAAAGGCCCTAAATGAATGTTGTAATTTTTTCTAAAGAGTTGATTTACATTCCTGATCTAAACTCTGTACACTATAACTAATGATCAGCTGTTGCATTTAATGCTGGACCTGCAATAATGGAGAAATAGAACTTCCATAGATTTGATCGACTTAGTTTTTTGTTTTGGTGGTTGGAGCTTTTACACCGTCTGGAGTTCCAGCAAGAGCAAGAATTCAAACACATAAGCAGGCTAACACACAGCTTTTGGAACAGCCTTCCTAAAGCTATGGCCTGAAACTTGTTGAAAATATTTCAGCAAAGCTTGAAAGCCCTGTTAAAGCCGGAAACGAAATCAGTTTAAATTAATCATTCCAGTATAACTGGGGGAAAAAGTTAAAATATCAGGCCAGAATTATGCCAGGCACCTGTGGTACACTGTTTAGAGTATATGTTTGACTGTGTGTGGATTAGAAAGAAATAGGGCTGAGCAACACTAGGAAAACAATATATTAACAACGTATAGTGGGCAGACAGATGGACACCCTAAATGTTTAGATCTCTAATTTAACACACAACCCTTAAAACAATAATTCCATCCTACAAACAGTCCTTTTGCAACTTAAATATTCTCTACCGTAAGATTGTTTTTTTAAGATGTTTTGCAGTATTTGAGGTACTACTGAAGTGAGTTAGTTGGTAAGGACTGGATATCCTAAATCTATAGAGTTTGCTTTTGGATTGAGCTAAAAATGTCAAAGTTCAATCACCTGCAGCTACTTATTACGGCTCTTGCAGCATCAGCTGCTTGGAAAACAAGGGTCAGTATTTTAAGTACCTCCGCTTCTCCACTGCCTATAAATCAGAAAAATATCAGAGACTCTACAGGCCACTTTGATATATGAATTGGTTTAAGCTTGGAAGGATTTAATGTGTGTTCTGCCATTTTCCCTTATCATAATAAGTTGTAAAAAAAAACATCCTTGGCATCTCCGCCTCTGGTCTGAGAGGATGGATGTGTGTTGAATAGATTGAGGGTAAAAAAAAGGTAGTAAGAGAGTAGTTGAGAGAGTGATGGAGAGCGGATGAAGTGAAACAGAAGGCAATCAAGGTAGGCCGGTGGAGGAGAGGGAGAAGAGGAGTTCCCATCAATCAAAGGCTGCTTAGGCCTGCCCTGCTCCACCACAGTCAGGCTGCTTCAGGATGCAATCCACGTGTGGTATAAGTGTGAGTTTGTGCAGGGTCAGAGCCGCTCCTTCATATTTTCCATGTTCTTCAATCATCCTGAGGCCCCAGCATGCAGGAGGCGTCATGGCTCCTTGTTCTCGCCACCTGCATTCTCTCTGAGCTATGGCTGTTTACAGCGGCTGTCAAAACCTGTGCATGATCTATGATCAATATATCAGTCTGACACAGTACTGCTTTCATGATACTGGCATTTCATCATGAAATCAAGCATTGGTCATCCCATTACTTCATGGTCTGACATTCCCTAGTCACAATATGCCAATATAGTGATCCTGTCTTGCACTTTGACCCCAAAGGACCTCTGGAAGGAGACGCTTAACCTAGCTGAATGAAGAGACAAAATTAGATCTCTTTATATTCATGTTAATGGTATCTTTAAGTGGTAACAAAGAATCTCAGCTGGTTTCACACAAACCAATACAAAAAAGCTAATTTGTTACAAAAATACTTTTTTTGCTTATTAGATAAAACTGTTTATCGAAAACAAAGAATTCCTTAAGGCTTAAGCTAACTGCTATATATATTTCTAATGCTATTACATTTATCTAAACTATAAACTCTTAGATATTGATAAAATATTAAATATTAAAAAATTGCATACAACATAAAATTAAAAAACACCACCTTTTTATTTTGTGTTTATATAGCTAATATATAAGGATTAGCTAATGGACGGTTTAAAATTTTATTAAATGCTTAAAAAAAATACTTTTAGAAATACTAAGAAATACTATTAAATGCTAATTGCTTAGATTAATTTCATGACCTTTTTTTCCAACCAGCTAATGATTAAGTTGGCTATTAAGCTAAGATTTAGTAAATATCAAAAAAATATTGGATTGGATAATGGTCTGATTTACTAAGCAAGTATGGAGGACCAACTCTGCCATATTTAAAAATAAATACAGAAATAGATAAATGCTCAATAAATGTATCACGGTTATGCCGAGAGAGTGCCGCTGCAGACGGGCTGCGGTTAGACCTGGCTGCCGTTAGCTTCGGAGCTCCACTGGTGCTGCGCTCCTCTCAAGTTCGGAACATTTTCTTTTAAATTATGCATTAAATCTTTGAATGGGCCATGCGGTGATGCTAAAAAGCATAATATTCTCGCCTCAAATAATCTTAAAACGTACTTTTATTGGACAACAGCAACAGAAAAGAGAACATTTAACTTAGTACTCTGAGCTCTGTGAGTTAAAGGAAAATTCCGGTTTTTAACACTTTTAGCCCATTTTCTGTAGTGTCCAGGATGAAATCGAATGATCGACACCAAAATTTTGACAATTGGTCCTGTCTCTGCTATTTGGCTCATGCAGAATCACCCCCTGGCTGCTTCAGAATGGCTTCCATAGAGCATGTCCGATAATGTCCTTAAAACAACCTTAAACGTTCTTTTTTTAAAATATGCTACTCACCGGGTCGTCAGCGCTGTTCAATGACGTTCCAAAAAAAGTTTCGTGAAGAAAAACCGTTCCTGTCTTGTTTTATTTAGCATTTTGTGAATCCCATTGAGTTCTGTTGGAATAGTCAATATCCCTCCGCCACCGGAAACGGAAATGGGGCCTGTTTACGCTTAGTTGTAGTCTTTTCGCTTCACTCTGTGTACTCCGACGTCGAGGTGCTAACGTCTCTGTTAAACACTTTAAAAAACTCTGAAAATGGAATACGAAAGGTGGATTCTTGAGGAGGACATATTGGACTTTGAGTTTGACGGTAGAGGATACCGTTTTGAACCGGAATATACTGAGGAGGAGTATATAGAGACATTGTCGCCAACTAGTGGTCTGGAGTGTGCAACGCTTCAGATTCGAACGGGAAGCGGAAGTTTATAAGCGGTTGTGATGTATCGGAAAAAATAGTTCTGGGATTTACAAAATGCTAAATAAAACAAGACAGGAACGTTTTTTCTTCACGAAACTTTTTTTGGAACGTCATTGAACAGCGCTGACGACCCGGTGAGTAGCATATTTTAAAAAAAGAACGTTTAAGGTTGTTTTAAGGACATTATCGGACATGCACTATGGAAGCCATTCTGAAGCAGCCAGGGGGGGATTCTGCATGAGCCAAATAGCAGAGACAGGACCAATCGTCAAAATTTTGGTGTCGATCATTCGAATGCATCCTGGACACTACAGAAAATGGGCTAAAAGTGTTAAAAACCGGAATTTTCCTTTAAGATGATGGACCGCCAAGCCAACCAATGAGCAGAAGTTGACTCTCTAGGACACACCCCTCCTCATTTGCATAATGAGGCAGAAATGCATACAGAAATGTAAATACAACAGGCAGAAATGTAAAATGGGCAGGCAGAAATAAATAACTAAGGTAAAAAAAAAATACAAAGGAAGAAAACAGACAAAAATATTATAACATGCACATAAATAAATACTTAAAAATATAAATAATTAAAAAATAAAGTTGAAGATTATAAAGGACAAAAAATAAGGTAAGTATTACAAAGGCAAATAAATAAAGAAGCTAATTAAAAGAGTTATATACTTTTATGTCTCACTGTATTATTTAATTTCTACTTACATTTATTTGTTTATTGTATTTTTGTTGGCAATTAATTGTATGCATATATGTTATATGCTTATATATTTATTGAGCATTTATTTATTTCTGTATTTATTTTTAAATATGGCAGAGTTGGTCCTCCATAAGCAAGAAGTTTAAAAGCATATTTTCAAATTGTAACTGCTTATGCTAATTTTTCTGTTGCGCTAGATTGAATAGTTTATAGTTGAAATATGAAATATTATGTTAATGTTAGTTTAACTAAATTTGATCACATTTGTATTTCTTGCTAATGGTGTAATCAACCAATGGGAGAAGAAAATGACCAGAAGTTAAACATCAAGGGAGCAATAAATTACCAAATTCTAGTGGTTTTTGATTAAAATTGAATTTTTTTTAACATAAGATGTCACACCAACCCAATTAGTATCATCGGGATCATAGTGACTTATATTATATTTCTGTCTAGCATTCAGCTAATTGCACAGTGTGACATTTAGTGTCCTTTGAAGATCAAATCTAAAGCATGTCCGGTATAGATGGACAAACTCACCTGAGCATGAAATTGATTTCTAAGAAAATAATTAGATTGTTGCTGCTTATGAGAATCATATTATTTGGTTCATGCGTTAGACTGTTTGACTTATACAGCGAGGTTCATCTCAATATTGTTTGAAAAGCTTTGTCACAGTATGTTAGCTGCCTGAGGACAGCCAGACACTGAAAGGACAAGGTTCTCTGTTCTTTCACCCAGAACATGTGCAGTAAACTAGTTTAATAAATGTCAGGAATCATTTTATCTCCATAATGAAGTTGTGAGATTAGGTTCTCATGCTTTCCTCTTCCTTGCAGATTGGCTATTGGAATGATGCGGACAAACTGGTGCTGATCCAGGACTCCCCGCTGCTTCCTAATGACACCACTGGCATGGAGAACCGTACTGTTATTGTTACCACCATCATGGTAAGGGACCAGCATGCGCCTGTCAGCGTATACATTCACGCATGCGGCATTACTTTCTGCACTTTATAAAATGATTAAGAGGTGCTTGCAGGTCATTTTCTCAGTTTCACAGAAACCTTTTATGCAAACGTTGCTTCTTTTAAATGTTTTACTAAATTAATATTCCTGTGCAATGCTCCAATTACAGCTTATCTTTAATAAGTTTATCTACAAACCAAAAAAAAAAACAACAACTGAGATTTAACTGCCCCTGTTTCAAATGCATCTTTGGCAGAGAAACCCATGAAAGATTGGTTTCATTTATCCGATTATAAGTAACAATCCAACTTTTATCTTCCAACACCAGAAGTTAATGACAAAACGATCTGAATCATTTAAAGCATCTGTCACACTGAATGGCCTCTGCATGGCATGTGAATCTATGGCTGTAACAGTGACTCTAAAATGGCTGACTTTTTTGCGGCCAGATGTTGTTGAGCGTTACTTGTAGCAGCAGAGAGGAGGGAGAAAGAAAAAAAGGAAGGAGGTGGGAAATGAAGAGTTACAGCTCAGCAAAAATCCTCCCTCTTTTCAGCCCCTGATGAGGAACCCCATTTTAAGAAACTGATCCCCAGTTGGACGCAAGCAAGATTTGAAAGTCCTTAATGGCAGAGTGATGGACACAACACCCCGAGCTGAAATGAGGCCCTAAAGAACCTGGGCAAGAGGAGAGACACAGCAGCTATGTTAATGGAACCCCTGTTCAGATATCTGAACAAGAAATGGAGCCACTCAGAGCCGTAATGGAGCCCCTGGAGAGGAAAAATGAAATGCATATGAAGGAAAATGCGGGGTTTTATGTTTCTGAGAGGATGGTGCTCATGGATGGACATCTTTTAAGACTTAAATGAGTCTCCAACTCCTAACAGTGCACCGTCTCTTCACAATCAAGCTCCCATTTCAGCTGCACTGTACACCTTTATGTTTGTGTGTGGTCCATTAATGCTTAACAATGGATGTTTTTCTCAAAGACTTATAGATGCTGGACTGTAAAGTAACAGAATTGCTGTTTGCTCTAAATCTGTCACTTTGTCAGACAACCTGCTCTTACTTACAGTATATTACACACCCGGAGGTCTACCTCTAAGCCCTAAAACAGCTTAGAAAGACTAAAGCTTCCATAATCATCCCAATTCATATCCATCATATTCCGGCTTTAAAGATTTTTTTCATGACAGCTTTCTTTTTTCCATCGCTGCTTTTAAACTTGTATGAACATTCTTGTTATCCGTGTTTTTTGGGAAATGACTAAATGTTACCTGCCATTTTCTAATTATTTAATAACCCTCCCTTCAATGGCCGCCTTTAGATTATTAATTTAGGAGTTGGACCAAACGTACTGCGTCACTCCTCTTAAAAATATAATAGGATGATTGAAAAAATGTCTGAAACTGATTATAAAGATAAAATCACAGCACCTGGAGAGACTAAATTCAACTTATCGGCAACCCCAGGTTCTTCAAGTATTGTCCTTATTGCTAATGTCATCCAAATCTTTAAACTACCATGATTTCTTCAAAGGTCAAATGAAGAATGTTTGAAACTCACATAATTTAAAAACAGTCATTGCTTGTTGTCAAAAAGTGCATAAAAAAAAAGCATTATACTAAGGTAATAGTAGTATTTAAAAATGTAAAA